GGAGGCAATGTGAGGAAATGTACTTCTGTGAATATGTTTAGAAAATATTACAGTGAATCAATGGAGAGGTCAAGGGATTTCCTTCCACTGGATGTAATGTCACTATAACAGGACTGCATTTGCAGATTCATCAATGAATGAGATTTATAGATTTATATGCAATTCTCAGTTGAATTGAGGTTATATAACTAATTAATAAGGCCAACCCCTGCACAAACCCAACTCAAGGTAAGAGGGTCCACAGTCACAGGGATGTAAAGTTCCACACAGGTATGCTAACACAACAACTGTTTAAAAGGTTTGAGGCAAAAGCAGTACTTTGACTATTCACACCTGAAATCACTGCAGTTGTGAAGGCTTGTTACTTCCAGTCAGACATCTCTAACAATGAATGTAAGATTAACTGCATCGTGCATCTGTCAGCGATACATGAAAACTCTGAGAATTATTTGAAAGACACAAACCTTGGACACCCAATGATGAGAGATTCTTGTGTAATAACAGAGTTTGTGTAACAGGTTCATCAAAAGCAAGATCTGCAAGTTGAGCTTCCAGTGCAGAAGATGACACAGAGTAAATAAGCTGTCACCTTAAAGGTCATTCATTTTCCTCTGCAACAACTATGCTGCCAAAAGAGCAACACAGTTGAGTCTTTTTCTAAGTGTTTTTCTCTAACTGCCTAAGACTATGAGATCAAATTTTTTTTAAGGTGGAGTTTTTACATTTTTATAGCTGGCCCTTTTCACCCATATACTAATTTTGCTCCAAAATGTAAAACAAAAAGTAACCAGACCATTTCTGCAGGACTAATGATTTTACAACATATACCAGAGGACGTAAACACCGAGGTTGTGACAAAAAAAATTGCTCACTCAGTCGCTGCATAGGGCAATTAGTAAAAATGCAATTAGCACTGGATTTTAAAGAGGCTTTTGAGTGAAAAAATCAGGGTGAGTAACAAGGTGGACCGTAGTCCTTTCCAATGCAACTTCCTGCACTTACCCTTGAACTGAATTATTCACACATGTTATCTGGCATACATACATGCATGCAAGCACACACACATTCACATACACACTCCGGGGTGGCCCTCTGTAAGCACATGGAAGGAAATGTTTTCACTTACAACACACTGGCCCAATTCATTGCTCTGTAATCCTCTAAGCAGTTTTTGCATGCTTTGCCTCTCCACTTGTCTGTTTTCTCTTGAAGGAGCAGCCAACTACTTGAACTCATGAACTTTATGTACGAGAGCTTTACAAACCACTTATTTTCTGTCTAACGGTTGTGTTTTCATCAATTAGGCTATGAATTTCCAGACCTGTTTCTGTCTTTAAAAGTTAATGCACCCAATATTAGTGCTCAAGTCAGGAATCAAACTCAGGTGGTTGGAAGCACAGCTGTGCCACATGTCAGCACACTAACCACAAGACCATAAACGCTGACCTGCAGGACCATATTTTAGATGCCTTAATCCTACCCCATACCTAAACTTAACAACTACCTTACTAACTATTAATAATAAGCAAATTATGAGTTTATTGAGGCAAAAGTCATAGTTAATAGTGAGAATTGGCCCCCAAACTAAAGTGTGACCCACAGCGGCTTTAAATAAAGGGATTGTGCACCCAGAAAAGAAAATGTTGTTGTAATTTACTTCAAAACTCATATGGAACACAAAGAAGATGTTTTAGTAGAATGTCCAAGCTACTCTTCTGAAAATGAATGGACCATGACTTCAGTGAATAAAGTGTTCAAGTTTAGTCCATTTCTCATACAGTTATTGTCTCCAAAAGACTTGAACTATAGTGCACAAGTTATATGGACTGCTTCTATGAGGCATCTATGGTTCTTTTTGTACTTATTGGAGCTTGGTTCCCATCCACTTTCACTGTACTGTACATCCAATAGCAGTTTAGAAATTATGCTAAATGTCTCCTTTTTTGTGTTCCACAAAAGAAAGAAAATCATACAGGTTTGAAACAAAATGAAGGTAAGTAAATTGTGAGTGGGTATATTTTGAGTGAACTATACCGGCTTTAATAAAAGTGTATATTTCTGTACCTTTGTTATGTGCACACATACATTTTCAGATCAGCAAATTTCATGTTCCTGCTTCAGCTGGAACCACCTGAGCTGCTGAATTTGATTGCTCAGTATTTATAGTTGAGCAAGCGTTTATCTCGGTGAAATATTTCAGACGATCCACTATCTCTGCACAGGGGCTCGCCGTGTGGTTAACTTCATGCCAGGTGTTTGTTTGAACGAACCCGTTAGCCTTTGATCATTCTTTCGCTCAGTCTCGTTGTGTCATTTTGAACACTGTACTAGACACACATTGTATTCAGCTGTAAATAAAGAGGTCTCAGGCCCGGATCCAGAACATTTGACCTCATACTGATAACCAGTTTAAACCAGTGGCATCTTCATGTTTACTTAAATTTGATCCACTCTAAATAAAATAACCCATGGTACTGATGTCATCACAGTCCTCTGCATTCTGGGTTTAGAAAATGTTTAACAGATAGCACCAGATTTGGGTCCAAATGTAAAAAGGGCAAAGGAGATAAAAGAGTAAAAGACGTTTAGATCAAAAATTAACTGTATAACATTTGCCATTTTTGGATTCTTTTTTATTATTTTCTTTTCATACATTTGTCTTTGTTTTAATTGAATCTGTTTATGTAATAATAATTGATTAATTATTGTGTTCATGGAAGTCTTTTCATCTGTAAGTGGTTGTATGTTTCAGATGATGAAGAGGGACAATATTTGTCTACATGTTCTCATGATCATTTTATGAAACTTTATCACTCATTGGTTGATTGCAGCAAGTTGTTCCCTAATATGGGCTTTTAAGGGTTGATGCAAAAAGGCAGCCAACTTCACATTAATTATTTGTGAGCAGTTTAAATTCTGCAGTGTTATGCAATGAGTGCTCTTACATAAAAAAATTTACTTTGGCATAGTGGCTAAAACCAGAGGGCGTGTAAGTGTCCTATCAATAATTCCACAGTGAATGAAAGAGAGTGTGAATATGTTTACTCAAACTTATTTTAGGTATAACATTAAAAAGCTTTTATTAAAAAGAAAACTTTTTCAAATAAAAATCACAACCAACATGTTGTCTGGGTATGTAGGAAACATGTGACACCCTATTGACCCAATTGTTTACTGCAATACACACCCTGATAAAGGCTCTATTTGCAACATGTCTATTGTTATTTTTAATGTGTCAGTCCCTATGTAAAGATTTTATATTATACCCCATGCAATTTACTTAAATTTCTTGCTTTATATTAGGATTGAGAATGCACTGTTATTGAAATTCTGACCGATATGATGAGCTGTTATTTTCATGTTATGGCTGATAACTGATAAATGACCCTTAATGAAATGATGAACTATTTGATCAAAATAAATTTAAAATAAAACACTATTGTACATCTCTACTTTATATAGTGGCCCAAAAAGTCATCTTTTGGAGTCACACTTAAAAATGTCCATGTCTCTGAATTATACAATAAATATTTTTTAAAAAGCACAAGCAAAAAGCATTTAAATTCACAAATCAGTGAAATAATAGCTTAGAAAAGTGTAGTTTTGTAGGTTTAGCATCACTTATTCACAGCGGGTTTTGAGTCCCCAGTATTTTATTAGTTATTTTCTAGTTTTTCGATGGTCTTCGATACACTATGACAAGTCACCTTTATTTATGTAGCACATTATACAATACAGATTGTTTCAAAGCAGCTTCACAATTATAAACAGGAAAAAATTTATCAATTATGTAAGTTTAAATATGAGACAGATTCAAATTCTGCTGTAAAGCAGCTCTAATTACAATAGTATAATTTTTAGGTCAAGCCAATTCAGTGGTGGACTGACTTAAAATAAGCACTTATATTATGCACTTTATTGTCTAGTGTATGAACTTTATAAGATCATTTTTTCATCCAGCATCAGTCTGATAGCCCCTCCCATTCCGGTATGTAAAGAAAACTGCAATAGTTGAGTGAATGAAGTGTCCAACATTCCACACTTTTTTGTTTCTTGTTAATTAAGTGCATCATCCGGATATTTGAAGTACACGTTTTCTTTTTGGAATTTTCAGTGTGAATATACTTGCAATATGTATACTACTAAATGTCTTATACTAGTGCATAAGCGCACAAACTGAGACAACCCTGATATTCCAAATGTCTCCTTTCCCCCACCCACACCCCCTCCACCTGCGCTTGAAAGCTGTTTTCACATCGGATAGGTTAGCAGGTAACTAAAGCTCAGGCTCCTCATGGCAGGTCACTCACTGTTTGCGAGCCGAGGGAAGTCGCTAAGCAACAGCCCAAGTAGCTGCCGTGAG